ATTTTTGGTCTCTAGACGTCATCCCGATTCCGGAAATATCCATATTGAAGGGTATTTGGCAGTATTCCCCACTTTTCTGAAGTCGGCAGCCGCCATCTTTGATTTTAAGATGGTCTCTAGACGTCATCCCGATACCGAATATATACATATTGAAGGGTATTTGCAGTATTTCCCACTTTTTTTGAAACCGGAAGCCGCTATCTTGGATTTCAAAATTGCGTCGGAAATCGATTGATAGGTTTTTGACGTTATCCCAATTCCGGAATACCTATATTAAAGGGTATTTGGCAGTATTTTCCACTTTCTGAAATCGACAGCCGCCATCTTGGATTTCAACGGATTATCGCTGGATATCGATTTTGGGTCTCTAGAGGTCATCCCGATTCCGAAAATATACATATTGAAGGGTATTTGGCAGAATTTTCACTTTTTTTGAATCCGGAAGCCGCCATCTTGGATTAAAAAAACGCGTTGGACATCAATTTTCGGTCTCTAGACGTCATCCCTATTCCGGAAATACCCACGTTGAATGGTATTTGGCAGTATTTCCCACTTTTTTTCAAAACCGGAAGCTACCATTTTGGATTCCAAAATGGCGTCGGACGTCAATTTTCAGCAGCTTCCAGTTGTGTCCGTTCCAAAGACCAAGAAAGACAAGAATAGAAAATGTTTCGTCGAGAGACAGCCCAGGAGATCAGTCTTTCAAGCAGAAGTTTGTTGCATTGTGCTTGTCAGATGAACGTTGACTTTTTTGTTGTTGTTGTTTATCGTCATGAGGTTGACAATTCCCAAGCCTGGACCACACTTACCCACACAGAGAACCGGTAAAACACTCACCACAACTGTCACATCGCAACCACCGCACACTCCCATCTCTGCTTACCCAATACACATAAACGGAGACACTATTTGCAACCACTATTACAAAAAAAATAAATAAATAAAATAAACAAATGTACAATGCCCCAGCTTGCTAAAGGATATCAATAGAGTTCTCCAGATGCGTGCTACCTTTTTAAGTAGTTGTGATATCGCGATACCTTTTTTGTTCTTCTTCTTCTTCTTCTTCTTCTTCTTCTTTATTTTAATATATGTTAGATTTTAGTGTTCGTGAGATTGCGCATGGAGATCTCTATAGCTCGCCACGGCGAAAGTAAAAAGCAAATCAAACGAAAATCAACTGCAGTGGCAGCTGTCCTTCTACTATTAGTAATATACCTATATGGATAATATCCAGATCGAAAATCACTACGCGGCACGTGAAGAAACAATTCCTCTGCGGCACACAGCACAATTTCACACTTAATATTGTCAATTAATTATCACAGCACTACGGACTAAACTATAACGTTCGCCATCAGTACTAAATCAGTTATTTACAGGAATTGTATACATTGAATATTGATTAACATGTGATACCAGCGAATTGGTTATAAAATGCTAAATGCTAGACTACAGATTGACGTGTAATAAAAATTGATCGAATCGCATTTAATAAAAGATATAAACAACTATTTAAATAGTACATGATTTTTTAATGGATCAGTACATTTCACTGTTTTTCAGTAAAAACTACCGAAAGAACTGTAATTTTTGACAGTCGACGACGTTTCTATTTTTACAGTTTTTTTTTGTAAATTTTTCCGAACTTCGGTAGTGAGTGATGAGCTAGTCGGTAATTTTTGAAAGTTGAGTGTAAATTGCAAGTTCGATCGTCCAGTAAACCAAACTGTTACCGAATATTAGGCTGTTTGAAAGTCAGAAAACAAAATTACCGACAACTGTAAAACAAACTTGGTTTGTAGGACTGGAACTTACCTTACATAATTGAAACTGGAACTGGAAACAGTGGAATTTAATTTCAAGTTTCATTCAGTTACTTCAAGACATATCGCGCACTGGTATTTACAGTTAAAGAGTTCATACTTAACGTCCACGATGTCCAATTGACTAAACACCGATTTCAGTAACAAGGATTCTTCATTCACTTGGTTTCATTACCTTCGACTATTTGGCCAGCAACAATTTCAATTCCAGTTCCAATTATGTTAGGTACTATTGAGGCCATTACCACTTATTAGAAAACCTCTAGTGCTACATGTATTCCACAACCAAGTCGGTAGTATCACATGTGTTAAACATTGAGTGTATACAATTCCTGTAAATGTTATAAGATTAATTATTGCGCATTTCGTAACAAAGTGCTGTGTCAAAAATAATGCCTCACAATTTTTCAAAATAAACATTATTTAAATTTTCTCAAGTCTCGACGTTTTTCGTTTTCAGCAGTTACTTTTAATGCTGCCCAAAAATCATAGGTTGCTCAGTTTTTTGAGGATTTAGAAGCAAAGTTTTCACCGAGTGCATATTTTATTGATGATCTTTAAAGATCAATGCTACATACGTACACTGATGTAATCGCTCTAAATCATCTGGAATAGAGTCCACCATAACCGATCGATGTTCATTTGTCCCTAACAAACAATTACAGTTGTATTCGATGTTTCATAGAATTCTGAGAGGTAAAATCTTTAAATCGTTTATTTTTTCGCTATTTGACGTGGAATGCACCACACGCAGAAAAATAGATTTTTATTTCAGGGCCTAATGTATTTTGTTATTGATTCAAACATATTGTATCACTATTTCAACGAAACATATTTTTGAATCAACAAAATGGTTTTTAGAATTAACAAACAGATTATTGACTCTACAACCGGTTTGTTGATTCAAAAATATTTTTCTTTGAACTAACCGAATAATATATTTGAATCAATACCAAAAATATATTAGGCCCTGCGCCAAAAATACATCCATTTGAATTTAAAAATCATTTCTCTGTGTGACTACAGCATTCACGATAATCGGAATTTCGAGCAACACCATAATCAAGAAGTTTTTATGTACCGTGATGCACCTTAATTCCAATCAGCGCTTGACGCCGATCACGTGAATATCAAGCCGATTTGTCGTAAACATCAGTAAAGCTATGTAACGCTGCATTGTGAGGAAATTCCGGAGTGATCTGAACTTAGCATCCGGATGGTCTTTACCTCCAAAAGAACTTTATAATGAACTAAAATTTCTAGGTGATACAGTACAGACAAAATTTTCAAACACTGCTCAGATTTTTTCCACGAATGGTGAAATAACGCGGTTTTTCTTACACAGTTTTTTTTTAATAACGCGGTTTTTTTATACACGGTACGTATCCCCCGTGTAAAAAAAGACTTGAGTGTAATTTGGGTACTAGAAAATATCGATACGTAGGAGATGAGGAAGAAATTTAATCATTTAGTGAAAATTTAATCCACACACATACACACACGCACAACACACACATACACAAATTACTGAAGACACTGATAAGACTAAATACATTGACACCAACAATGACAGGAACGCTGATACTAATTGTACGTATCAGTGTTGGAAAAGTTCGCGATATTTCACGAAGTTCACCAATTCATACACCTATATTCTTGATTTTGTTCAAATCGTAATTTCCATACAAAAAAAGTTTTTTTTATGGAAAATACGGTTTGAACGAAAACAAGAATAAGGGTGATAGTGAGTTTTGGCGAATCGATACGCACCCGAAAAAAAAATATAATAAAACAACGAAATTACAATGATTTCCAGTACATTAAAATTTATTGTTAAATTATTGTACGGGAGGGAAAATAGATTTCGATTTTTAACGATACAATGCTCAAACAACGAAAATTAGTGTGATGAGATCAAACTTGATAGAGAAAAATCACTTTTTTATATTGTTAAGATGCTTAACAACCCTCCTTTTTTACTGTAAATTTCTCAAATACCATGAATTTCGTAGTGATTTTATGGTAATGGACAAAAATGGTTCAAATAGAAAGATGGTCGCTGCTTAGGTTGCCGAGAATACGTAAATTCCCCTATATTCTTAGAGTATTGGTCATTTGACGCGGGTAGAAAATTTCATGCATTATATTTAGTTTCAAAGTACGTACAGTAGATTTTTATTTTTATTTTTGTGTTGTACTTTGGTACGGCGCAAGTACTCAAAAGTTAAGGGGACGGCCCATACTTCTCACGCTAAGAGTCACGAGATCAAATCTCATTCACGTACAAGTCACGAATGACCTAAGACATATTAAGTGACTATAATACAAAAACAAAACTTCTAGGAGAGCTTATAGGAAAGCCAAGAAAATAGCCCGATAGATCATCAACTGGGGGCGACCCCGGCGTAGTGGTTAGCATCCATACCTCTCACGCCAAAGTCACGAGTTCAAATCTCACCCCCAGACAAGTCACGAATGACCTAAGAGCGTTAAAGTAACTATAATAGAAAAAAAAATAAATAAATAAATAGATCATCAACTGGGCAGGAAATCATATCCTATTGTCCATGCACCATATCAATCGATTTATTCACTATTGCCTGCGGACCTTGTTATAAACTTTCGCGCTGAAAGTCGAAAAGCTAAGTAATTCCTTAATTTGTTGCTGCAAACGTGGATCTTTTGGCACCTAACGGATGATGTATGAAATTAAAGTAAGCTGTATATTGTTTCGCAAAGATGATTGCAGCGAACACATAATGGAGGCTGGTAATGAATGAATAATTAGTTGAAAAGCTGAAAGCTGGTTGCCAAAATGCGTATACAAGGATACACCAACGATTTATAAAAATGTGAAGAAGACTGGAGCCAATTACCAATGCGATTATGTTTACATGTAACTATTATTACGACGCATCATTGGAAAGTCATCAAGGAAATTCAAAATCACTCGGCATTACTAATTTAAAATGAAGATTTCAACACAATCGAAATGAAGAGAAAAACATCATTCAGCAGGTATACACAATTATTTATTTTATCGAACTGTAACGTTAACACATATTCGGCAAAAACCGATAAAGTAAAAAAATTATACATATTGAGAAAAAAAAATTGCTTAGCTTTATTTTAGTTTAAATGTCAAACATTTCTAACCAATTATCTTATTTCTAGGTACGTAAAAGCTTCTTTCCACCACGCCCAAAGCAGAAGAGAAAAACTCGTTTAAAAAAAGTTGTTGAGGATGGGGAACTATCTGATAGCAGTACGTCGTCGTCATCAAAAAGTGTAGTGTCGAATAGCTTGGAATCAAACAAATTCTATGGGAAAACCAGATCTACGGCTAAGATATCCGATAGCGACAGCGGGAGTGATATTGTGATAAATGAAACCTCAGCATGTCGAAAGCAGACGGACAATAACGTTAACATCATGACTAGCAATGAGAACGCACATCAGGGAATTTTGAAGAGAACATCTCTGGCAAGTTCCATTATCAAAAACCATAAGCGTAGAAATTCAGATGAGTCGCTAAACTATGAATCAGTTTGTTTTAAGAAACGGTGTGATAGTGAAGTACTTTTACCAGAAGTAACTGAAATTAAAAACAAGCATTTACAGTTAGACGTTTTTAAAGATTCTGGTTTTAGCTCTTCTTCAAGTCAGGAACGAACTCCTACAGAAGAAAAATTTGTATTTGAAGAAACGTTTTCACAGGAAACAATCGAATCCAATCGAACATCTCAACATGCAATTAAAAAAATTGACTCTGCTGAAGCACCTCCATTTTCAAATTCAAAGCTCAGTTTTCGCTGCTCGACATTATCTCAGGTATCATGTGAATCGACTGGTTCAGCGTTGTATGACAATCCGTATTATAATAAGCAAAATGTTCTGCATGAACCACAGTCATCAGATTACAGTGCAATTTATGCAAAATCTGAACATAATCTGGGGTTATGTATGTTCTGCCTATCGGAACCAAAAAATAGCGTGTTTGTTCATAGCAATTTTGTACATCTTTGTTGCTGTTATAAATGTGCCATGAAAATATGGAGACAACGCAAATCCTGTCCGATATGCAATTGTAAAGTTAAAAATGTAATGAAATTATTTGTTCATTGATACGCTTTACCACACATGTGCCACTTTCCAAACAACGCAATTACATATAGAGATTGCTAAAGTATGATTGTGTCAGTGATTTGTTTTCATCGGGAAAATTTTTCGCTATGAAGTTTTTTTTCCCGATGAAAACATTTTTGCGTATACGTATACGTGACGTAGTGTGCGTACGATAAACGTCAGCAATCTCTATTAGGTTTTGCACCGTCGGGGTTAACCTCAATCTGATGACAGTTTAGTGGTACTGTTTACGTGGACTTAGTCGATTTTTTCTTGGGTGGATTTTCTCGATAATTTTTCAGACTGCAGTGAGATGTAAACCACATTTCTGCAATGTTCACGAGCAAAATCCTTGCAACGCGCTGTTCCTTAACAATTTTCAAGTTAAAATTCGGAAATTTTAGAATTTTTTTTTTTTGAAAAAACAACTAAGTGCTTGTAAACAGTACCACTGAACTGTCAAAAAGGTTCAGCCGATTAACATTGAGTTCATTTGTGACGTCACGCTGCAAAACCTAATTAGGTATACTGCAGCGTGACGTCACAAATAAACTTAGTGTTAATCGGCTGAACCTTTTTGACAGTTCAGTGGTACTGTTTACAAGCACTTAGTCGTTTTTTCGAAAAAAATATATTTTAAAATTTCCGAATATAGTATGAAAATTGTCGAGGAAATGCGTGGTGAAAGGATGGTGCTCGTGCAAAAGTGTGGTTTACATCTCACTGCAATCTGAAAAATTATCGAGAAAATCTACCCAAGAAAAAATCGACTAAGTCCACGTAAACAGTACCACTGAACTGCCATCAGATTGAGGTTAACCCCGACGGTGCCGGCGCCGGTGGTGCAGTGGTAAGCGTGACTGCTTTCTAACACCCCAATGGGTCTGGGTTCAAACCCAGCCGAGGTCGGTGGGATTTTTCTGAGGCATAAAAATCTCTGATCACGTCTTCCTTCGGAAGGGAAGTAAAGCCGTTGGTCCCGGCCCATGTGTGTTTGAATGGGTGCGATATCCTACGCAGGTGTGGAAGCTGCCTTCCTGCACATTCGATTGCCGTCAATGGATGGCAATCGATGTCCGTCGGTGATTGGCACTAGATTGCGGAACAGAGACCGACGTTAAATAAAGGAATAAAGAAGAAGAACCCCGACGGTGCAAGGTCTGGCCCAACCGGTTTATTGGTATTAGTGAAATGTGGAAATGTTTAGTGGTGTTCGTATTTCTTTGCAATGTTCTTACACAAAACAGCTATTTTCTGTGACGTCACGTCTGCTGTTTTCAGTATGGAATGTTGTGCTAACGTGACGTCGTCATTCGCTTGTTCAGCAATGTTTATAACATTTTTGATTCTAACACCAGCAAGCTGGCTTTTGTTCCAGACATAGTATGATTGACGTCGGGGAGGACCATCGTGAACAGCACTGTTTAGATTCCCACGCTGGTACGAAGACGATGATCAGGTACCCTTAACATGCGAAGAAACACTGTAGAAAGCAGCCCCTAACATGGAGAACAGACTCGAATAGATTGCGCCCTCCGGAGAGCATACGACCAAGATCCAAGCCGGGAACATAATGACAGCTCCAATGTATATAATGTAAATGTACTCCGAAAATGTTGGTTCCCTCAAATGGAATTAATAATGGTTGAATTAGAGAATAATGGAAATTTGTCATTTTTGCTAAATTACGGCACTAATCCCTATTGTTTATGTATTGGCAAAAGCGAATAATTTTTGCACATCCGGTTTACCAAAACATCACCATCTGTTCGAATGAAACCTCATTTTTTCAAATCTTTATTTAAGAGATTTTTAGCCGAAGGCTAGGTTCATCTATTAATGAAACCTCAGACCACTCAAATCGAAACATCGAAATCGTTTGTTCGAATGATAGCTGCAACCGGATCCAAAACGGTTGAACACCTGAAATAATCCAAAACGATGATGTTCAGTGGTACTGTTTACGTGGACTTAGTCGATTTTTTCTTGGGTAGATTTTCTCGATTGTTTTTCAGACTGCAGTGAGATGTAAACCACACTTCTGTAATGCCCACTAGCAACATCCTTTCAACGCGCTGTTCCTCGACAATTTTCAAGTTAAAATTCGGAAATCTTAGAATATTTTTTTTTTGAAAAAACTACTAAGTGCTTGTAAACTGTACCACTGAACTGTCAAAAAGGTTCAGCCGATTAACACTGAGTTCATTTATGACGTCACGCTGCTCTTCAATTATGATACCGGAACTTTCAACGACTTAAAAATGAGGCTGCTTAGAATTCTATAGACCACCAACTTGCTTAAGCCATAAATAGCCCTTTATCAGAACTTTTGGTTACTTGGGAACACTGTACACAAACATCATCCTCTGATCGAATGAAACCTCAGACCATTCAAAACAAAACACCGAAATCGCTTTTTCGAATGATAGCTGCAACCGGATGATGGTTGTTTTGAAATCAGATGATTTCCATCTCGAATACGGGATGAAACTTGTTATGAGAAGGAATAGGGCCTTTTTGAAATGCGTAATGCTCTCTGCAGAATGACTGTCATACTTAATGGAAATGCATATGGTATTGGTTCAGCCCCATAGCGCAAATAATTCAAAACGATGATGTAAATAATTCTATCGAACGTCATTTGCTGATCTGAGCTGACAAACGAGGTGGAAGCATATGCATCGCTATCAGAGCTGTTACGAAAAAAGGTAAAGGATGAAAACCAATGTTTGGCTAATTCGTGGAAGAGGAGGTTTTCTCCACCACGAATTTTTTTTGTATCAATAATGGAATGGCTTATTATGGCTATTCAGTATGGAATTGTAGATAATCAAATTATAAATCTAATTAAAAGCACTTGCATGTCACACTATTCTTAAATGTTTGTCCTCTGAGTGCCGTATGTTTTATAGCTAATTTTCAAACGAAAATCATCCTGTATTTGGATGACAGTCATATGGATGTTCATCATCTGACGACGAATTCAACCATAAGAAAATCATCCGAAATTTGAATGCATATTGTTAAAGGGCTCGAGCAATGCAATAATCATTCGAAGTATTGGGGATGTTTTGGTTCAGTGAAGTTCATTCAGAGAGTCTTGTCACGCTCGCTCTTCGCTGATCAAAATTTTCGTAAAAAGGAAAAAGCCGAGGAAGAGAGATTGGCAACCGTCAAAAGGAAGCATGCCACTGAAGCTCAGGAGTTAAGCTGGGTTTAGACTAGGCAAGTCAAATGATCAACTCTTGACATGACTTGGCTTGAAAAGTTGAGCCTGGTTCAACTTTTTTCAATTCAAGTGAGTTGATCAAGTCAGTAGAATGGCATGGTTTACACGTTCAATTTGCGTTCAAGTCAGTTGAATTCAACTGACTGTGATCAATTGACTTCCCTAATAAAAAATAACCATAAACGAACGATAACCCAAATCATTGAACTATTCCTCAAATGGTTTGGATGATACCCATAACACGTCGTTAAGCAAATTAACCATACAATTTTTATTAGGGTTGTCCTGTCGAAACCCAGCTTTAGAACAAAGGAGGCGAAAAATACTTGAAGATAGGCAAAACGAAGCGAATATGCTGGCGGAAAACATAAATTCATTACAATTTTGAATAATTTTGCTTTCTATTTGTTACCACTTTCTCCAAATTGATCGAATCAAAAGCAATAAAAACACATGTATATTAGAGAAAAATTTGTTGATTAGGGAACTAATAAGAGATTTTACACATGTGAAACCATGGTTTTTTTTTTGCCTTGATTTGTTTTTCGTCGATCTTGTTTTCCGTGCTGAGCACCAATGCTACCGACGCCAGGAAGGCAGCTCTCACACCTGGACCCTATCTATCGACCCATCAACTCATGAACCGGGGACCAACGGCTTTACTTCCCTTCCGAAGGAAGGCGTGATGAGAGATGTTATGCCTCAGAACATCCCGGCGACGCCGACTGGGATTGAACCCAGGCCTGCTGGGGTGAGAGATAATCACGCTTACCACCACACCACCGGTACCGCTTAAAACCATGATTTATTCTGTCTTGATCTTCCAAACAGAGTTGGACGCGAACATATTATCAAAATGATATTTTGTTTTTGAAAGCATATTGTTATCAAATTTTGATATATCGTTTTATCGAAACAGTATAGATGGGGTTATAAAAACACAGGTTTCTTACTTGTATTTATATTCTTGAATTAAAAAAATACTATTGATCGACGTAATGCATGCTACTGTATGAATAACTAATGTGATTGCAAAAACCAAATACAATATTACACCCATGGATATAATTTGTTTTCGCAAATTATGTGTAGGATAAATGCACCAATAGTGGAGGTACTTTTACATTGCACTAACGTACCTCCACTATTGGTGCATTTACTAAACATAAATTGTACAAATTAATATTAAACAACCTGTGTGCATATGTTATGCTGTAATATTCAATAACTTTTTTGCTGTGTCGACTTATAAGTACCAACGCCCATGTTTGAACAATCGAAAATAACATATCAATCAATAAGTACATAAAAGAGATTCCAGATGAATAAATAGAAAAAAAAAATTATGTGTATAATTTGTATGCATCTGGAATTTTTTTCATTCGACCTGGAAAAACCTGGAAAACTCAGGGAATTTGATTCTTTGGATTGAGTAGACACCCAGGGGTGTGTTTTCGTTGGCTCATCAGAGCGTTGTGGCCATTATGAATGGTAGTTTGGTTCTAGATTCGTCTGGAGTTCGACCGGCTATGGTGGGTGACTAGTGGGCTACGATGAGACTCATCGAGACGGTGGGAAAGACAAAAAAAACTAATAAAGAGAGACAAAAGACATAGTAATTAAATTCTTATACTAGACATTTGAAGAAACATATAAACCGACTGCATATAGCATATATCGCGAGTTCCCAACACGTCTCTGATAGGAACATAGGGTTGTCTTCCATGGGCCTCGAGGGTATTCAAAAGTCGCTCTCTGGCGGCGTCATTATCCATACATTGCCAAACTGCGTGATCGATGTCATCGTAACCGTTTCCACACCGACAGATATTGCTGTTCACGAGGTTTATTCTATTGAGATGGGTATCTACCGAGTAGTGGTTGGACATAAGTCTACTCATCACGCGAATGAAGTCACGACTTAAGTCCAAGCCTTTAAACCACGTTCTCGAAGAAACATTAGGAATAATTGAATGTAACAACCGTCCAAGATTTCCAGTGTCCCAATCGGTTTGTAAACTCGAAAGGATACTCTGACGCACTAAATGGTGAAATTCATCGTGTGAAATGCGCCTTCCTGCGCGCCCACATTTGCGAGAGAGTCCGCGTTCTCATTGCCTGGGATTGAGCAATGCGAGGGGACCCATATAAAGGTAATCATATATGATCTTTCGACCAGCACACTCATCTGCTCCCTTACCTTTAAAAGGAAATATGATGAGTGCCTACCTTGTTTCATCCACCGCCTCGATCGAACTGAGACTATCCGAGA